GATTTGAGTTTAAAGATTATAATAATACAAGTGAATCTTAAAACAGGGGATATCAAGCAAATAAAACGTGAGAGCAGACTGACTTTATTGAGGGAAATTTGACCTAATAAATCATAGAACAGCAGTCACAAATGGTTTGAAGTTTGGATCTGAAGAAGACAACAGCCATACAACTGCTTTCAGTTATTTTCCCAGACAGGAGGAATGAGATCCATACATACATCTTCTATACCTGCTTATTACAAGTTGCAGGGAGCTGGAGCCTATCCCAGTCATTGGGCAGGAGGCGGGGCACACCCTGTGGACAGGTCATTAGTCCATCACAGAACTACACAGAGACAAACGAGAAAAACCATCATGAACACTCACACCTACCAGCAATTCTAAGTTTCCATTTATAACTTCAAATGTGTGGAGGTAAAGCATGAGATGATATGAATAAAGTCTTATAGTACCTCCGTTTCAGCACTAAATGTGAACGAACCCTCTAATGGCACTTTTCAAATAGGAAAAGGGTAAAAAAAAAACTAATTTAAAAACCCAGACCCATGGCAACAAGAAAACAGCAAAGGCCTGGGCTTCAAATAAAAACTCCTGTCCACACACAGAGCTGCATCTCCAGGCACGGCATATCTCTCTAATCATAACCACATAGCATAATCCCAGAGACACTGAGAGACCACTAAAGCAGGGGCACAGATGACTCTAAGCCCCCAACCACACACTCCCTGCTTTAAGATGCAGAAAAGAATAAAATTCCAAGTGTGATGTCACTCCTTCCAAGACCTTAAACCAGGCTAGTGTGGTGACACTGGCTGCCCAAGCGTTCCTCTCGTTTTGCCTCTAAACTCTGGTTTCTCCTCTCCATTGATGGAAATTACTTCAGGAGCTCGTACGGGGTACATATTTGCCCCGGCCTCAATGCATGTGCATGGGATTTTTAAAAAATCCCTTCATGGGTTAAGGTAGAGAGAATAGCTACATCAAGATTAGATATACGTAGCCTTTTTTTTCATTTCTATCCTTTTAAAACATTATAGGAAATTGTAAATAGCTCCTGCCGACTTCACTCATACAGGAAATGTGTGCAGTATTAATTATAATCGCCCAGTGAGCCCCACTGTAAACACATCTGGCTGGAAAATCTCAAGTGGGGTATCTCCTCGCATGCATCTGTTTGCTGCAAATCAGCTTTTCAAAAACAACTTGAAAAGCAGACAGTCAAAACTCCAGGGCTCTTGTTGCCGCCACACATGTGGAACATCCATGTAGTCTGTAAAAATGGAAGTGTGACAAGCGTGGCCTGCCCGGGAGAGCGTTTTTACACCTGTTGGGCTGCTGTTGGGATACATTTTAATGGTACATTATGACACTCTTCCGTTCTGGAAATGATACTACCTACTACAGTTTAAAGACTAAGTTCTAGCTCACCTGTGTCATTTATTGGAGTAAAACAGGCCAAATGGCGAATCCAAAAGTTTCATATGCTAAAAAGGTCAATAAGTATAATAACTACTGTAATAAAAGTGGAATTTTCAATTTTCATTTATGATGGAAGAAACGTGTGTTGAAAAGGTTTCCCTCTCTGCAGATATAAAACAGATCCTATACTGCCCTCATGTGCGTCTCATTGGAATCACAGCTGTTTACAATCAGTAGTCAGGTCCTGCCTTCCTTAACATTCAAAAGTAATATCTTATGCCAAGTTTATTTTCTTTCCAGCCATTAAAAAACATAATTCAGAGAAGCAATGAATACTGCTTTTCACAATAATTATTCTTTGTACAATAAGGGTTGAACACTCAAACACTTGTATTCACTTCTTTAAAATATCTTCTTCACGACATTACAAAGATGACCAGCAAGTTATTCTTTTCCTACACAAACACTTACTGAACTAAAATGTTCTCTACTGTAAAAACAACCAAAAAATTATCCATTCATGGTATGCATTCAACTGATTATTGCAAAACACGTTTTTTAAGATAATCTCTATTATTATAGTTTATCACAGGGTCCCACAACACACATTATTTTGGCAAGCATGCATTCAACCCTGGAATCCATTTAGAATCATCAGTTGGCCTAAAATGTATGCTTTTGGATGGTAAGAGAAGATGCCAGGGTCAAGAGTCATCAGTAGGGTTATGTGGTACACTCATTTGTGCCCTGCCTCATTACGTCATTTCCCTGTGAGGAAAACCCCAAACCAAATTAATCTATTTTAATTTTAACTATTTTGATTTTCAACTTGATTTTAGAAACCAAAATTAAAGCTGTACGGCCACGCTGTGAATGGTCTTAAAATAAACTTAAGTTATCCGTTTCCACAAAAGAAAAAGATGTCAGAGGGATTTCCGCGACAGCGCGAGACGGTGCTCGTGGACGTCCCCCTCAGCGTTGCCATGGTGACCGTCTGTGCTTTAGTGAAGTCCCTCCCTCCAGATTCACCCCGCTGAGCCAAATTCCTGCACACAGAGCGGCTGGAAACACCTGTGAACGGTCAAGTTCTCTAAGAAAAGGGACGAGGCTGGCACACGGTGGCTCAATGATTTCCTCTTTCTCGAAGTCGACCGTGTAAACACCGGTGCGTATTTAACTTTTTTCTCTCCTAATTATCAATCTAGCTTGATTGATTTATTAGCTAAACTGAACTTTTCTGCTGTGACCCAAACCCGTCGGTGTCTGAAACATGCCCCGAGGAAGTGCATGAGCCAACAACCGTAGAAAAAGAAAAAAAAAACAGTGACATGGAGGCCGTATTTGTCACAGGAAGTTTCTGAACATCTTAGAGGAAGAAACTCGATCTTAAATTACACGTGTCATGTGAAACTGGAACTGGCAGTTTTCAATAACGGAAGCCTTTCTCTGTTTGTTGTCGTTTTTGCTTCCGCCTCGCAAGCTTTCCCCGGTATAGTTCTACACATTTTGGAAGGAGGTAATATGGGGACAGTTAGCAACTTGAGGGGGCAAACTTTAAAAAAAAGTAGCTTGAGACGACGGTTTGATGTGGATGTAAGGATGGCTCTGGGGGTGGAGTCGGCTGGACTCGTTCTACCAGATCCCTTCACGTTTGACAGATGTTTGCTGCCTGATGAAGCGATAAACAAACCAAAACAAAGCTTTACAAGATAGATACGATAGCGTTTTACTTAGACCTATATTACAAAGTCTGCAATCACATCTTAGGACACTTTGAGTGGTGACTGAGTTGATTATTGTCCAGGAACTCTCATTTAATTTGTACCTTTACAGATCTACATTATGTCTTAGAAGCATTGTGCTGATGGCTGTGCAGCCATGCTTTTGTAGCTGGTCTAGCCCCCTGTGCAGAGTTGTGGTCATAGACTATAGAGCAGAATTAGTTTCTCTGTGGTCCTCAGTCACCACACTGTTCCGGACTGCTGTAGCTTTAGCAGCTGTCACGCTGTAAAACAGATAAGGTGTCTATGCAAAGAAGACAGGCCCAGCTATTAAACTTGGAATTTTAAGAGATCAATATGAATATGTAGTCCCAACTTTTAACTAAGACAATCGTTACTTCTTTGGATAAAACATGTTTCATATCTATATGTATGAATCTAAAGGCTCTGGTTTAAGTGATGAGTGTTTTTCCACTTCCCTCTGCTCAAAGGTTACAGGCCCACCTTTCTCAGCAGACTTACCAAACTTTAATAAAAGAGTGATTAACCTCCAGTGTCAATTGAATTCTGTTTTAGGCAGCATCTGGGAAATGGAAATTCAGCATCTAACTAATTCTTCAACCAGCCAGTTTACAAATCATTAAACACAAAATCTTTCTTTGTTATTTAGAGATTACAACATGTTTCTCCTTGAATGAATTTACACACTGCAGATGGAAGTTTAGGGATTATACCAGGAAGAGTTAATATTTAAATTTTGAAATAGTTTTGCATAAAACATATAGCGATTCAAATAATTCTGTTTATGAGAACTTAAAATAATAGATAAATAAACTTTTAGAGGACCAAAAAACTCCATCACTCTGTCCAAAGAGCTTTTAACTTGATTCCTTTGTGTATCTTTTGTCTTGATCTCTCTGTGATGTGGACATCCTCATGAAAGTAGCGGTGCTTGTGAAATATTGCGAAATATTTAGATTAAAACCACTAAGAATGATATGTTCGTAAAAAGCAACTTTGTGTATTGAAGGCAGAAGAAGCACTTTTCAGAGGTTGAATGAAGAGATGCACAGTTTTGAAATATTTAGGATGGTTTTAAAAGGCACACTTTAGACATGGTAAACATTAAAATGTGTAACTGAACTTTATGAGGTTGAAAAAACTAACTTTAACCAGTACCTGCTGAGCACCTGAATTAAAATCTTTCCATTTATTTGTCTGCCTTCTGCATCCCTGTTATTTTTATGTCCGTCTTGCATTTGTGCCTTAACATCTACTGTACATTTGCTTGGGTCAGCTCACACATCTTCTGATGTTCTTGCTTTTGAATCGACCAAACAAGTCATGCTTCAGATGTGGGAGGAAGTCTTCCAAACCAGCGCATGCAGTTGTGTGTTCTGCATACACGCCACCACAGACAGGGGTATCAGTCGATACTGCCAGGCACACAAGACCGTCTTCGCTTTACCACGAGTTTCGTTTCAGTTTTGACTGACCTGTCAGATACAATAAGTTTGAATGAGGATTGTTTTCACTGGGGGAAAAGACAAGATCAACATATGGGTGTGCCTTTAATATGATTAACTCTTATTAACTGTCACCAGTTTTTTGTGTACCATGAGCCAATGGAGATATGTGTTCTTTTATTGTAATCTATATTCCTTTGTTCTTAGAATCTGATCTCCCTTCAATAGCCTTTATGTAATATTATCCCATTTACCAATTGTTTTGTCTCATTTCAGTTGACAAATATCTGCACCTAAAAAGTGCTTTTCTCTGTCTCTCATAGGTTTCATCTACTAATTAAAGAGGTGGTTGCTAAGAGATGAAAATCTGTGACATTGGTGAAAGCATCAGATGCGCGGCAGCCTGAAGCTGGACTTCAGTGAGCTTCCTCTCCTCCACCCCTCCGTTCCTACCTTGCTCATGTGAAGGACGTGGGAAACGCTCTTATACCGGTGCGCTCACAGATACCATGGCAGCTTTTACTGCTTCATGCGCCAACATCAACACCATGAGCAGCTCCATGGCCCAGAGCGGCTGGCAAAGACGGGGAAGCGGCGAGGAAGTGGGCACGCGTGAGAGTGACCAGAGAAGGAGCAGGAATGGGCACGTGGAACAAGACACAATCCAGGAGAAAACCTTTGAGTTCTTCCAGATGTGTGACATCGAGAGCAAGGGCTTCATCACCCAAAGAGACATGCAGGTGAGGCAGCTGATAAAAAAGATTATCCGTCGATCCATTAACTTGACGTATTTTGAAATCGGTGAGCTGAGTAACATTTGTTGTATTGTAGTAATGTTTTGTTTGAAAAGATTACATTTAGATGCTTGCTGATTATACGATGACTGCCATCTTTTAGAACTCTTCATCAATTGAATTTTTTCTCTTTTTTTAAAACATTTCTGACATCAAACTGGCATTGTTATTGGTTTGTGAAGATGATCACTCAACATAAATTCAGAGCACAATGTCGGCATGTTCTATGAGCTCATTAATGATGCTGAACAGGACATGGATAAAGCCTGTGTTCCACACTCAAAGAGGTATGAAAGAGGCTCAGACTGAGAGAGCCATGCGGAAGCTTTGTGGTGCAGGCCCTCCATTCATATTATTGTGCAGATTCACTTGTCCTGCTGATATTCATCTAATCCTTTGATGAGGCCCTTCTAGGCTTGCATGAATGAACGCCAGGTAAGCTTTGATGTGGTGTTTATGGTAAGGATTGAAAATTAGATGGCTCTCCAGTTCCTCTCAACACTATTTGTATGACCATCTGTGCTGAAGTGTACAAACTGTAGTCAAAAAGCAGAACTGCATTGGTTATGCTGCCATGTATTTTAAAAAGTGCTACATCTGGTTTGTTGACATTACAGTAACGGGCATAACATTTCAGCAGCATTTTCACACATCCGTCTGTTTAACACCATGACCATCAAAAGGGTGTTTTTTTTATTTTTACAATTCTAGTGTTTGCTGACATAAGGGATATGCTTCGCCAAGATAACACACTTTATAAGAACTACTGATAGTCTTTAGCAGATGCTATCCCTTTTGTGATCCACCCCTGGATTGTAAGAGTAGCTTCAGTCAACATTTGCAGCCGTGTAAACACGGTATAAAAGCCAACCTGCTTACAGAGGTGTGGCCATGTTGACCGTCTTTGACATTGATCTGACTGCCAGTATCTGTCAGGTTCATTGGGTCTCGCTATGTCACCTTCACGTGGAAAAACTGCTTGCTTAAGGAGGACCTGCTATGCTTAACATATTACAAGTCTTGTGAAACTGTGGTGTTAAATACTTCTTAAATGTCAAACTACACCTAACATAATCCGTTTTCAAGATAGCTGCCCAGTCACTGAAGGTTAAGCTAGGGAAATCCCAGAAGTTTTTCATTGTCCTCCAGTTTAAATAATAAGAAATGTAAGAGAAACATGTTTTGACAGCTTTACATGACAGCTGTGTTAGATGCAGTTTTATCAATGTTCTTGAAACATTGATAAAACTGTATCCAATAGGAGATGTCATTTGTGTTCAATTCTAGAGACTGAATGGTGAGCTTCCTCTTAGTGCGGAGGACCTGGAGAACGTGTTTAACACTCTGGATTCTGACGGCAATGGATTCCTCACCCTCGATGAGTTCTCCTCAGGCTTCAGTATGTGTTGAGTCTGCTTTAACATCATTATAATTATCTCCTGTATTTGACTGTAGACCCGGTTTCTTAATTTTATTTTAATTGATTAATCATGTTATTAATTCAATTTTTGTAGGCGCATTTTTGTTTGGCCAGAGAATTCCGCTTGAGGAAGGTGTTGGAGAGAAAAAGCCTGTTAAAAGCCTACCAGAAGTCCTCTACCAGTCCCAGTGGGAGGAAAGCCCTGCAAAAGAAGTTGAGGATGAGGAGGAAAAACACTTTTCTATGCTTATGGAGAACCTTGGAGCCAACAGTGTCTTTCAGGAGTGAGTAGCATATGTGTGCGGACTTGTGATTATAGCTTTTTTCTGTCTTGTATCGTTACACACCCTATCAGTGTGTCGAGATACTAGCACTGTATTTTCAGTAACTTAGCCTGGGACTATAATCAGCTGTTCAAACCAAATAAAAGCTGAAAGTTTCCACAAACGAGCAAAACGCTGCCAGTCATACATTTCCAAGCAATCTGTGCTCGAGTTTATCTGCTTGAAAGCACCGTTTTTTACGGGATTGTGTATCAGATGTAGAAATCAGAGGTTAAATATTTGTGTTTAACCATTTATTTTTAGTGAAATATTGAAAGTTTGTACACAAAAACAGTCACAAGAAATATCCCTTTCTTATGCCTATGCATGAATGGGTGGCCTTCAGTGGTTCTAGTTTATGTTTATCATTTCTGCCTTAGACTGAAGGCTGCATGATAACCTGATATCATGAAAGCCACGACTAGACTCACCTTTATCAAGCGACTCAATAAAAGTAAAGAGGAGCGGGGGTGGATGCCATATTTAAACTTTCTCTTGGCTACCTCCTACCCTCCTGCAGCGGGAGGATGACATTTTAGATCAAATCCAGTTGTACATCACAAACTCTCATTGATTTTGGCTAGACTTAAAAAGAGTTTATAGATTTCTGGGACTTTTATCAAGGTATTGCTCTGATATGCATTAGTGATTGTGCAGACAGAATGCATTTGCACAACATAATTTCTGCATTTTCATCATAGCACTACCTAAATCATTGTTCTTGTTTTTAAACATTTTTGGGTCGCTCTTAAACATGACATTCAGTGTTTTCCATGTTTCTGTACATATGTGTTTTTTCTAATGCTGCCCAGTTTTGAATGAGAAACTGCACAGAGCTTTATTCCACTTCCTTCAAGTCTCTCTGTCCTTGAACTCACCGTTTTCTTCAAACTGAGCCACATTCATGAAATGAACAGATGAAAATAAAAGAATCCACTGTGAAGAAGACATTTTTCTGTTCTTAATAATATTGTGTGCATACATATGTGTGTATATGTATGTTTTTGTGCTACCTTGGCTAGCATCTACTCAGATCTCTGACTGATTTGCAGGTCATTGTAGGTCAAGCTTGCTAATGATTCTGTGCATATCTGGTTTAAACACAATAGTTAAATGTTTTTGTGCAGCACTAAACTAAACTAATAGCTTGTAATATGGTGCCTGCTTACACCTGCATTTTCCCTGCATCAGTCCTGTAGAAATGCGCAGCCTTTGGGCCCAGCTGCGCCGGGACGAACCACATCTTTTATCCAACTTTGAGGACTTCTTGGCCAGAGTGACGTCCCAAATCATTGAAGCCAACAAAGAGAAGAAGGAAATGGAAAGTGCTCTTAAAAGGTCTGCGAGTCAATCAATCAATCAATGATAATTTATTAATCACTGACTGAGAAAGCATATTACTACATCTGATTGTTATCTGAACAGGAAAGCAGCAACACATGATAATGAGATCCAACGCCTGTATGAGGAAATGGAACAGCAAATAAAGAATGAAAAGGACAAGGTGGTACTGCAGGTAAAAATCAGCTGTTGTGTGAATATTTCTGTACTTTTTCACATATTTTATCTTCACTTTTTTTTTTTTTGTCTTTGAATACTACGCTCAAGGACTATGAGCGTTTTTTGTCTCGCAGTCAAGACCTGGAACTGCAGCTATCAAGTAAGGAAAAGGAGCTCGAACAAATCTTTCAAAAGCAGAAAAGGGTAAGTAGCTATGTGGAGACTTATTTTTCCCAGACTGTGTTGTAGTATTTGCAGTTCAAATGGAACTTAAATAAAGCCTTGTTAGGGATCACATAGATAAAGCAGCTAAACACATGAAACGCATTAAACACTATAAGAGATAACAGAGAGCAACACAAAGTTGACAAAGTGAATAAACGCCTCTTTACCACAAACAGACCCATTAAATATTATCATATAAAACGGTGATGGAGTTCAGCCCAACCATCCTCAAAAATAAAACTACAAGTACAGTGAAAAAGTCATAAGCCACCTCTTACTATATTATTTTTTTCCATAGAGACTAACAATCTTATAGTCTTTTAAAGTAGTCTTCAGCAACAGCTGTTGGCATTTCTCCTCGGAGCCTTGACCTCAGCATAATTGAAACAGTGTGGGATCAACTTTGCACAGAACAAAGTAAATGGCAGCCCGCATTGGAACATCTTTAAGAAGTCTGGAGACTTTTCCTTAAGACTACTGTAGGAAATGGCAAGGGAGCCTGGCCTTGAGCATGTTTTAAGGAATAAAGGAGGACACACAAATGATTGACTTTCAAGTTTGTTACAATTGTGGAAACAGATTTTCCTTTTTAGTTTTTCCCCTTTCAATAAATGGATGATTCTGTTTCCCATTTTCTCTGTCTTACACAGCACTGCATGTCATCTCACTCTAAAGAACAAAGCTATATTGATTTTACAATTCATCCATTTCAAAGAAAACTAGTTAACTTGTAAAATTATTTTGGTATTGCTTTATCTCCTACATTATGATTCTCACCTTTTAGCTGTTTTCTGTTATTTCTGCTTAATTTGACTCTGTCAGGATCAGGTTTATTGAGTCTGATTACAATAATTTTATTCAAAGTATTCCTTCTTCCTTGAGCAAACTTTGGCATATTAGCCTTTATTGTTTTTAGTTGACATGTCAAAGCTCATTCCATATTTAAATTTATGGTTTAGTTTGGTTTCACTCAGATTATTGCCTTGCATTTTAGTTTTGACTGGCCAAAACCAAAGATGCAGAAGGCTAGATTAAAACGTTAAGGCCTCAAAATATTATGTAGTTAGTATATAATAGTATATTAGTATATAATATACATATGAATATATACTTACATATTTTATTGGATCTAATCTGGGGGTAATGACTGGCTGTTCTTTTATTATTTACAAATGCCACCCTGTGTTTTCGTTTTCCTCATGTTTAAGTGTTTAATGCTTTACTTTTCTTTTTTGGCCACCGATCTGTCTCCAGTTGGAAGGTCAATGCCGGGAACTTCACAGTGAGCAACATGTGACCAAAGTGGAGAACGTGAAGCTGAAACAGACAAATGACGAGCTGGCGCGAGAGCTGGAGCACACCAGCCAGGAGCTGATCCTAGCTCAGGAGCAGCTGGCTTTGCTGCAAGAGCAGTCCTCACGTCTTCATGAGGAGAAAGAGATGTGAGTAATTGAGCTTGATTAATCTGCTGTCTTCTTACCCAAGCCCCATTGGTTGCAATAAAGAGGCTCTCACACACATCTGTTACAAGGTTTCGTTGAGTTGTAAAGCTTATTTGATGCTTCATTGCAATTGTGTAACAAGCTTGCTCGGAGGAAATGGGAAGAAGATGTCATCCTGGCCGTATATGAGAGAAAAATTTACTAAGATGTTCGGTATTTTTGTCATCTGGATGTCTTTGTCATATTACTCTAAACTGCAATCACCATGTTTTTGTCTGATGAGAGGAGGCCCGTCTGAGTGCTGCCGACACCACTGAAACACTCTCTCAATCCCAGGCAGAGCCAGAAAGAAGCTGGTGCTTTTTTAATGCTGATCAAAAACTGTAGATGAATCCCAGCTAAAGAAAGCAATACATAACTGCTAAATTAAAAAGCTCCAGATTTTTTTGCTGATATTAAGTGTGAATATTTCCCTTGTGATTCAGTTTCAAACCAAATGACTAACCCAAAGTAGCATGCTTTCTCTGACATTTATTGGCATACTGTGCAGACACATTTTGTATAAAAAATGTGCTATTGCTGCACCTTAAAGACTGTGTTTATCCTTTTTTCAGGATTGTGTTTACTTGTTAGCTTTATTTTTTGCCTTAAAAGTAACCACAGAACATGGAGCATATTTAAATCATAATTGACGGACGGTTGTTCAACACAGGGAGATATACAGAGTTACTGAGGGACTGCAGAGAGAACGAGCCAGCCTCCTCAAACAGCTAGACCTTTTAAGGTATGGTCCAAGATCAAGATCGTTTTCTGCTTCATGTTCACATCTGTACACTCAGCAAACAAAGACAGACTTTATTGTCAGTATTCAGCCCTGTTTCCCCTTTTCTTTGTTTTGTCCAGAGAAATGAACAAATATTTGCGAGATGAAAGAGACATAAGCTATCAGGTGTGTGATATTCATCAGTGTCCTGGCTATTAAACACTCTCAAAGTATTTCAATCAGATGATTACTGAACCCCCTGCCAGATGTCAAACTATATAATCATATTCTGACTCTTCAGAAACCAAAGAATTCTACGCAATCACTGAGGCTTTTGTCTGACGGTGGGCAACACACGGCCGCAGATGTCTTCAAAAGGTAAGCTGAACAGAGTTTATAGATTTTAGATAAATGTGTTTACTGCTTAAAGTTTTTGTCACATGGACTTTTGCCACTGCTCTGTAATGTACTTTGTATCTGTAGAGAGGATGAGGAGGAACTGACTCTGAACTCTACAAGGCAGCGCACAGCTAGTGGGTTATACCAGCCATCGATCTCAGTACAGAAAAGAGGACACTTCCAGAGGATCATATCTATCGAGGAAGACCACCTCCCACATCTACTGAATAGAGGCCAGACCCCAAGCCATCTTCAGAAGTTTGCTAATGAAGAGGATGACCCGGACACTGAAGAGACAATAGACTTAGAGATGAGTGAAATTGACCCGCGTCCATCATCAGTGCAAATGCAGAAGTCGGTGGAGAGTTTGGACAAAAGGAAAATCCCAACATCTCCAAGGGGTCAGCCTGTTGGCAAGGAGACCAGCATCAATGTAAGCATCTGCACTTTGCTGCATAGATTATATGTTAGGAACACTTTATGTGCTGTCACCTTATTCTTTTGTTGGACACATAAGGCTGGGAGGTTCACAGAAAGGACGTGCTGTAACCCTCCATCTCCGCTCTCATTATTGTCGTGTTTGCAGGAGGAACATGGCCCTTCAGTGCCCGACCGCCTCTTCAAAATTGTCCTGGTGGGAAATTCTAGTGTTGGAAAGACCTCCCTTCTGCGGAGGTTTTGTGATGACTGCTTCCATCCCGGCACTTCTGCAACTGTGGGTACGTTCTGTGCTGTGCATACACAGCCACCCAGAAGCTGATAAGTGTCAAACCTCCCAGCCCGGTTGACCGAGGGTGTGTTATATGTTTGCCCTGTCGGCTCTCCAACGTCACAGTCACTTATCATGCTGAGAGCACATTTTTCCTTGGTCAAAAAGGTGTCAGAAAGAATAGCGACACCTGATGTCGAAGCAAAAAATTCCACCTCCTCATCTTGAGAAAATGTAAAGATTTTCTGACAGGATAAAACTTCACACACAATTGTTGAGCTGAGTCAGGTATTCTCAGCATTTTGTGCCTCCTGCCATTCTGTTTCAGGTTTTTCTCAGATTTATCTCTTTAGATATTGAAGTGGATCTCTTTTATTCTAAAAATCGTACTCCACAACTCTCTTCTGTGGATGTATAAATCCATATGATTTGTGTCTTTTTTTGCTTTTTTCCCCCTGCAGGAGTAGACTACAGTGTAAAGACGATAACGGTGGACAACAGCCAGATGGCACTGCAGATGTGGGATACAGCAGGACAGGAGAGGTGAGGTGTCAGCAGACAACCTTAAAGAATAAAAAAAGATTGTTTGTGTCAGCTGAGTCAGCTGCGTTACTTCATGTGACAGCTTTGGCTTTCTGAGAGAAAGTCAAACAGAAATCTTATGTCACACTCACACATTGTTTCATGCAAACAGAAAAAGAAGCCACACTGGTTATCTTTGCTAGAACGTTTTGAAAACGCACAGGGGAGTCCAAAAGAAGTATTGACTCGTGTCCAACTGTCTTTGTGTAGGTATCGAAGCATCACCAAACAGTTCTTTCGCAAAGCTGACGGGGTGGTGGTGATGTATGACATAACTTCAGAGCAGAGTTTCACAGCAGTCAGGCAGTGGCTGACAAGTGTAAAGGTAAACGAACAGTGACCTCTTCCATTTCTATCTGCAGAAATACAGATTGAAAAATCAGCATTTCAGAAAAAAGACGTGAAAATCCCTGCACATAGAGTTTTTTTAGGTATGAATTTCTCATATTTCTTCGCAGGAATGTGCTGGTGAAGACATTCCCACCATGCTCCTGGGGAACAAAACAGATATAGAGATTGAAAGACAAGTTCAGCGGGAAGTGGGAGTGAGACTAGCCAAGGTTTGTTTTGCTCTGTCCAGCAAAGCATTCTGTACGATTCACAATTTATTTAAAAATAAAAAAAACCCGGGAGGACATCTGATACTATTATTCTTTAAACGAGTCGTTAGTTTTTCATTCCATGGTTCATACATTAGTTCAGTGTTGACTGGAAAAGACCATCTGAGTTCGTGGTATTGGGTTTGAAACCTTTTTTTCCTCTTAATTCTGGAAAAGAGATTAAACGTCTAAGTAAGACATCATTTTCGAATCCCCCTCCTCTATCTCAGTCATCCCATTTCTCAGTATGTCATGTAAACCCTGAATTTCTATATTTCTCCCTGTTTTCTCTCTTCAGGACTGTCAGATGGCCTTCTATGAATGCAGCGCATGCTCTGGATATAATGTAGAGGAGTCCATGGTTTATTTAGCCAGGTAAGTCAAAGTGTTGACCTTCATGCGTTAGCTGACGCAATAAAGAAAAACAAAGACACAAAAAAACCTGTTCAAAAACATCATAGAAATGTTATTTAATGTTTGTTTTCTCTGTTGTGCAGAGGACATTTTTCCTTCTGATGGACTAGAGTTTATGAAGCGGTTATATATTCAACCTTTTGTAGACTGCTTTAGATATTTTGCATTATTTTTAATGGGCACCAGTAGATTATTGGGGCCCAATAGTACTTTTTGTCAATGTAACAGTGGTTCTAGAACATTACACAGCAGAAACGCTCACATCTCAGGACTACATCCAGTAAACGAATGTTCAGGAAATGGCTTTGAACAAATTGATGTGGAAAATAAGTTATTTCTCTATAATCAGATGTGATTTTTCATTTAAACCTAAATCAGTGGCTACATGAGTGGTTTCCGGCTTTCTCTTTCTTTCGTAGAAAAAGGCGTTGTTATTTATGTTTTTTAACACAATTGGAAACTAGAAGGATGCTCCCGCTGTGGGAAGTAATCTCTCAAGCGCAGGGTAGAGAGAATGATGAAGGATGGTCCAACAGGGACACAGCTGGGTCCTGCAGGGAGGGTTATGAGCACTCCTGTGAGAGCACAGACGTGTGTTTTATTGCTCTTGGCTGGTCAGATATTAGTAACATCAAGCAGAAAGCTCCCCTTCTCCACATTTTTCGTAAAGTTTGTAGCCCATTTTTTACTGTTGTGCTTTATTCAAGTTTCTGTATCTTATTATTAAACTATTTATTAAAGTTCTTTGATAGGTAGTCTGACCACTAAGTCTGGCTACCAATGCAAGTTGGTCACGAACAGGACCAGAAGAGACAGAAGCTCAGAGACTCGGGATCATTTCCAGACCTGAAATTTCCAGATATGAAGTTTCACCAATAGGAAGAAGTAGACACAAAAAGGGGTGGAAGGTCATTTATTAGATTGTTTCCCTCAAAATAAAAAATGTCAAAAGTGAGCCAACTAATTTTTATAAAATAATCAATGTATAAGCATGTTTTGCCTTCATGAGCTAATAAGAATGGTCAGAGGTTAATGCTAACACATAGTTCATTTGCACCTTTTTCACAGCCTGACTCAGCCTGACAGCATTATGGCTCTCATGTTTAAGTGTTCATTTCATAAGAAGGTGACTGCATTTAAAACACAGCGGCATTACAGATAATCCAGGGAGTAGTACAGCTAATCCGTCAGTGGGGTTTTTTAGATGAAGCGATGCTGGAGGATGTGTAGTTTAGTGTGCTGCAGCTGCAAAGATAGAGCATGTTTTCAGCCGGTATGCAGGTCTGACTGTTTGTTCCTTTTTTCTTCACTGTGCTCTACAGAATTCTGAAAGAGCAAGAGGACAGAGAGAAGGAGAAGACAGTCCAGCTGGTCAGCAGCCCCGCGGAGAAGAAGAGATCCTGCTGCTGAAAGATTAACACTTAATGCAAGTAGCACTACCCTTTACCAAGTCACCCTGTTCAAACACATTCCTACCACTGTCAGCACCACAGTTTGTCCTCCCAGTCTGTCACCCTAAACCCAACACCAGAATGAAAACCACCACACTGTCACGTGTTCGACATGTTTTTTGCACCGTTTCAAACAGAAGTTTCCAAAGGAACTGCAGTTTGATGTAACAGAAATAGTTGTTAAAGTGCGTGGAATTTCCTCTGAGGTTTTATACAAAAATAAGAAACAGTGTAACTTGCACACTGTTCACCGTCTACAGATAACCTGGATGTCTTTTGAGTAAAACTGAACCTTTTTAGACATTTTTTAAAATCTACTTCAAACTATACACTCAAACTTGAATGAAATGCTCAAAACCAGCAATTATCTATTTATCCAAATGCCTCTTACAGTGAAAAGTCAGGTTTTTAACTATTAATGTTGATAAATAAATTCATTTTCAGATGTGTTAGTTTTAAACTGTTGTTGCATTACATTTTGTACATATTCAGGTGGACACAATACTATTATTTACAGTTTCAATTAAAATATCAATCAACCATGAAGAAAAACATCCTTTATGTAAAACCTTGGCTGTTAGTTTGTTTTGTTTGTTGATTTAACATTTGGTTTACCTTAAGAGCCAATATTACAGATTGTGTTATGTTCCTGCTGAATAATGAAGGATAAAATAAAAAAAATGAATGTACAGAAATAATTTCACTGAACAAAACTAATATTTAGGATTTGTCCTTAGTTTACCATGTATTTGATGTATATTTTGTCCATGTTTTGGTCTTTGTAAATTATGTCATGTTCCTTTTTTCTCTTGTTTTGTTCTTTGTTGGAGAAGTAATTTAGGTTGTGTGACTATTATTTTTGTATCTAACAACCGGATGAATTATTTAGTTTAACCTAAATCTGCCTCAAAGCCAAGTATTTTATGGAAGTGTGTCACTGTAACCTGTTAAGTAATCGTATGTAAAATTGAACTAGGTTTGGTAAAAAAATTTATTTTTGTCACTACTGATAGGACCTTGCATGTCACTTTAATATTTATGAATAAATATTGATAGAGATGTACGCGTTTGTATATAATACATGAAAAGCACCATGTTCCTCTTCCCGATACAAGTTTACAATTAGATGCACAGCATGACCCAGTGGACAAGTTTCAGCATTGCAGTTTATTCAGTTTTTGCCAAAACAATGTATTAAATATTCACTGAGGGGAAAAACATGTAAAATTGACATGCCAATTTTTGTACATTTCTATGAATTATTATGACTATTCTTGGTTTGTGTCAAAGCAGTGGAATTTTTCTTTTTTTAATCACAACACATACAGTGGATTCTAACCAGTGATGACCCATAAGATTTCTCTCATTAAGCAACCTCAAACAATCTCAAGTGTGTAAAACGGTGTGCATGCCCTTAAAAAACAGCAGTGAATTCAGTTGCTATTTCTGTGGTCGCTTCCAGTGGTTGAATCCTTCAGGGTTTTTCAATATTGCATTCAAATACATGAACTGTATAGTTTGATTACAGATTTGCCATAATAGCACCTATAGTGATTTAGAATACATAGAAATATAAAGTAGCGTCATAAATAATTTCCCTCACGATATATTTGATGAAAACAGAAGACCTATTTTAATTATTAAGAAATAATGTCTTCAGACTATAGATTCCTATTGATACAAAAAAGGAGGCCTCCTCCATGGATGCCTTGGCAATGACCTTATTAAGAGCACAAGTGAAATGAGATGTCTGTATTTTTGACTACACCGCAGTGTGAACCAGTTTTTCTAGATTGGGACGTATGCCATAAATTCTGCGACATCCCACGCTTATCTAACCTGTAGCCAGACTACAAGAAGTAAGTCTCATCATTGGCTAAAGCGCAAATAATCCTGGGTATTATTTCATTCCTTTCCTTTTAGAAGCTCTTCAAAGTATGTGTGACATCTTAGACTTGACTTGTCTGCCTTAAGTGGAGGATGACCAGTGGTTGGACATGGATTAGCTTGTGGGTTGTAGGTAAAGAAAGTGTTTTGTGAAACGTTTCAAGCGCGGTCATTAGAAGCATTTAGGTTGGGCATTTAGGAAACGGTGAGAGGAGACGCTTCCACTGACACATAAACATTACAGCTCAAACGGCACACAAACAGCCTGGGTTGTTAGTCGAGTGACACATTCTGTTGCACACTCGGAAAAACCACAGGGACACTTAACAATGCAAACACAACACCTTAAACATCGTACGTCTGTTTGTCCTTGGCTGTGGTGTTCGGTTTGTTTTTCTCATATTGCTGAACTTGTACACCACCTAGAAATCCCATTGTTTCAATAATAAATCTTCACTACGATACATGTAACATATTACTTGGATTTATTGCGGGAACAAGAACAGAATGCGAGAGTTGATGTCGATCTGATGGAAAAATACCAGTAAACAGATACTGAACTAAACACACAGGTACGTCACTACGCACACCTCAATAATGAAGAACATTCATGTCTTCTACAAAGTATTCTTGACCTGTTCTGTGTTACATTCAGAGTTGTTTAACAGTCAGCATAAATGATTCCCTCCCTTCATCAAACAATGACACTTCTGGTATGATCAAAGGGGGCCATCCCTAAGCGGTCTTTGGCCTTTTCCGACCCTCTCACTGTGTGTCTGTGGTCATGAGAGTGTCTTAACGCATCTTGTAGTCGTGCGATATGGCGGCTTCGCACAGCTGCCCTTTGAAATCCAGCTCAAAAGTAAAGTCCAAGTCCCTCTAAAAGGGGGAGAGAGAGAGCAGAAAAAGAAAGAGAGATTTCAGCCAGCATAAGATAATGACCGATCAAACGCCCAGATCAGAGGGAGAATTTTTAAGCCTGGAGAAGTCCCGCCAGGTTTTTTCCCTTTAACCTGACAGCAGGATGTGGCGTTGGATAAACACAGTATTGGTGTCAGAAAACAGAAGAAAAGCAAACACTGGCTCTCCGTCCCACAGGGGGGAGGGAGGGAGGACTCTGGCAAGGTCAACAGTGGAATCTGTTGTTTGTTCAAGTTACTGCAGTGCAGCTGCCCGCCCGCCTGCCTGCCAGCTCCCAACACGGAGACGGAAAACAATCTTAGAATGAGCCTAAGCCTGGGAAAAAACGAGTCCATTATCGCTCACCTAAACTATATGGGCACGCGCGATTTTTGTTGGAGGCGATACTCACAATGTTTTTCTCATTAGGCTTCATCGCGATGCTCCCGGCTATCTCCTCTCCTCTGCGCACGGTTAAATAGTCCTCCAGGTAAAACACAGTCTGCTTCCAGTGAGTGTACGGAGCATCGGGAGCTAGGACACACACACAAAGAGCTATAATCAGGAAAATATTCAGACGCATTGCTTATCGTCAGTTGAACGACTTCATTCCAAAAAGAAGTGATTTTGTCATTTTGACTGATAAATTTACCTGATTTTGAAGACTCTTTGAAACTGGTGTGCTGTTGTAGTTTTAATGACCAAATAGGTGATCATATGTTGTTTTTTTTACTAATCTGGCAACACCATAGCCAAAAAAGAAACATGAAAACTGCTGTAAAGCTTCAATCATGTGAAGCAGCCATCATAATGTGTTAGTGTGTCAGGCTCCTGAACATGAATCAGCCCCTGCTGAAGCGCTTTTCTTCTGTCATCAATCCAACTCCTGTCTGCGCTGCTACCTTTCATCCATACTGTACATTGTTGTGCGCCGGAGAGCATGGAGACCCTAGATGGATCAAACCTGATACCAACCCTACGCCCCACAACAGATGTGCCACTATTCCCTTGTGAAGGATCTATCAAACATCACTTGGCCGAGATCCAAAAAGGTCAGTGTGATTAAATCGGATTTCTGTCGGCTTTCTAGGAGCAGCCCGCCTGCTCTGGCTTTACGGACATGTTCTTCTACAGTCCATAGATAAAGGACCTGTCAATCAGTTTAGCTGCAAACTGAACGGCTTCTCTTTCAGTTTTTGAGCCACAGACATCAAGAAGCTACTTCTGCCTCGTATGCTAATGCAGCAGATAAGATGGCATTTCACGTGACCGGGATGTGGCCTTTTCCTGTAAGGCTGAGGGTCTGTGCACGAGTCTGATTGGATTCCCTGTCATAATTTTGACGGGTGTCGTCCGCCTCTCACTGTGCAAATTTGAACCGATATCTAAAGTTTTTTTTGTGGCAGGTGCGTCTTCAGGCTCGACTTTGAAGACGCTTGCTTGACGGACGTACTTGCTGAAAATTTCAATTTCGGGGCAGTTTTATGCACGGAAAGGGCTGATGCGCGGAAATTCTGCTGTGCGTCCATTTTTGTTGAAGTTGCAAGGTCCCGGTGATGGTGGACTGATGAATAAAAGATGACCTGTTTCTGCAGGGGAGAGCCCAAAGAGCCGTGATGCAGTTGCTATGTGCTCCAGCACCACTAGAGGTGAGTAACACACCAGCTTTGACGCAAGCCCTTAATGTTGGAATCATGTTAATTGATCTTATGTACAGTTAAGTGTTTTGATTGATGCCTGCCAAGCATCAAACTACTGATGATTTACAGGGGCAGCTCAGGAAAGGAGTTCAATCCCTGTCTTTTTTACAGTTTGTTTGTCAACAGATTCATTGAACCCCATTTCGACACAATGTTTTTAGCTCGCTGTGAATAAAATCACCTGATGAATTCTTTTAATATAAAGTGTTTCCAGGGATAGTGAATACATGCATTTCGAAGCGTTATTAGCATCTTATTTGAGTACAACACTTGGAAGAGTGCTTGCGTTGCACCTTACCTGTAGAGAAGCCCGTCTTCTTGTGGCATTTGGTGAACTCTATGTTGAAATAAGTGACCACTGCATGGATGTAGTCGTTCCTCTGGATTTGCAGGCAGAATGATGAGGTGAATGACATATCCTCTGGCTTTACAGTGTAGATGTCTACCTCCTGGAAGGGAAAAGATTATTTTACTCCTCTCAAAGAGGCCGACCTCATTAACAAAACCTTTGAGCCGCATGTCATTGTGCCTGTCAACATTCATGGGAAATGTCCCCGTTAGAAAATAAAATGAGAAATCTGTAGTTAGGACCCGCAGTTTTACTGCTGTCGGCTCATTTCAGAACCATGAAACAACTGCCACTTTTCCAATAGAGGTAATACTGAATCTAATTTCTGTCTCGCTTGCAATTCATCAGCGGGGAGACACCGGGGAGGCCGGAATTCTGAGCTGCAGCAAAGCTTCCACCTGCAAAAAGAGACGCAGGATCGCCGGTAAACCTCCACAGGTCTGCACCAAAATCGTAAAAGAGGCCAGCAGCACTTGTGTAGGACGGATGAAAAGGAGGGGGTTGGCGTCCTCTGAGAGCTCTAACTATCATCAGGATCCTTTGATAAAGGACACAAAGCTGTCAAATTTTCCCTTGGATCCATTTGGTTGGACAGGGTATCAGATACACCTTCATCCCACTTTGTCATGCTGAAAGAGGAACACGTTGTTCCACTTTCCGGTTTTACGGCCGTGTGGACGGCGCTGCGCCAACACACCACATTAGCTTCAAATACCGACTAATGGGCGGACTGCAATTCACCTGGAACCCGTGCGGCAGAATGAGCACAGGCAGTGCTGTCATAATCTCATTTCATGTACCATCAGGGCTAATAGATGCTCAGCACACATTCACTATTTTTAGTGGCAGATGCCGCATTTTATTCCACGAGGACTCGCCCTCATGTACGCTGGCTGTAAGAATGATGGCGTACTAATGTCAGAAGCCCCTGCTGCACTGATATATAAAAATAAAAGTCACACCCATTAATTCATTTACCAGATATCAGTTGTAATGGAGCAGTAACAAAAAATCAAAAAAGACATTTCAAACTTTGAAGGGGCACAAAATTGGATACTTGTAATGACTAGAATAATAAGCTAAACTGGTGAATGTTTAAGTGCGTAATGTTTAAACTATTTTCTTCCAAGATTACACTTTTATTAACACAAGAACCATAATGTGCTACTCTTTCACGAAACAACTTTAAAGTGGCATTTTGGAAATCCATTTCGAGATAATGTGGCTAACCAGCAGGGTACCACTCCTGTGAGGCTTTGTCCCCACACGAGCTCCAAAGACAAGCAGCTTTCCCGTGGTTTTTATGCAAATGCACGTTCAGTTCTAACGACAGATAACTTTACTGATGGGATTTAATTTAAAAAAAGCCAGTTAGGTGGAAATGTTAAGGTACGACTGCCCTGTAATTTTCCACCAGGACAGAGGCGGGGCCGAACAGCAGCACGTAATCGATGGTAGCCAGTGGTAATGAGAAGGAACACAATCAGGGAGCAGACGGGGTGCTATTGACATGCATGGCGCAGCGGCCCGATGAGTCTAATCTCCACTCTAAGGGGGCAGCTGCCTCACATCAAGGTCACACTCCTCCGAGCCTCATGTCATGCCTCACAGTGTATTTACCAGTCAATTAACGTAATTCCCTAATTACTAAACTACTCTGTGTTTGCTTTACTATGACAATTAGGATGAGTTATGAGAAAGGTAACGACATGGTAATGCACTGTGCTGGCTCCCTCTTATCATCAGTACATTTCTGTTATACCTTTTTTACGGTGGTGAGGTTTAATCTTTGATTGCTGCTTTATTTATTAAGCACCTTAGTTATAATCGGCACGTAGTCAAACTGGTGTTTCCCCATGATTACGCAAATGGAACAGACCTGAACAAATAACCTAGTTTAGATTTAATGAAGATGCAGAATTAAAAGCAAATATTTTAGTTGATTAGGTAAAAGATGACGATGTAATATATTAATTGTTTTTATGATTAAAATATGTGTTGTATTAGCCATCTTGAATTTGATAGCTGCAAAATATTTAACAAAAACTATTAAGAGGGGCAACAAAACAAGAAAACGTGTCTAAGAAACAGTGTGTACACTGTGCTCAATCCTTTTGGAAACACCCATAATCAGTTTTCCGTAATTGTTTACGACCTCGGTCGAGAGTTTCCCCACATGCAATCTCCAGGCCAAAAGGGAAATCTGATCCACGGCAGTAATAACCTGCTTATGGAAGGTTCCACTGGCTAGTTCTCAGGCTAATCGCACGTTGTGTGCAACTTCCTTACAGGCAAAGTGGCAGAAAAGAGACAAAGCAAATATCTGCATCCTCTGCAGTTGACATTTTGGCAGGCTTTGTGATCGTTTAATCATCTGTCATCAGCCAGCGTATGACCAATATTCTACGTTACTAACCTTTACCAGGCAGGAATTAGTCACCACCTGTTTGGGGTCCACGATGTCCACCAAGGGTTCTCTCATGGCCACGTTGCGGATGCAGGTCATGTCAAAGCCGTACACGTTCTCCCACCCTGGTAAAGCACAGCGTGTTTTCAGTAAGCATTTGTCAGCTGCAAGCATTTGGAATTTTTTATTTTTTGTATTTTGGGTCATGCTTTTACTGGGCACATGGGATAAAGTCCCGGGCGGCTTTAGCAGTAAAACAACAAGAGTTGGATCGGGGCACTGCTCACAGAGCGTCCCAGAAAAAGTATGATCTATGACCCTGGAGCTATCTCCTGTCATTTTTTCAATTATTTCCATCTTGATAGATGAGAAGTCACATTGTGTTTGGCAATGACTTGCAAACATGTGCCTCCTTGAACTCAGAGCATTGAGGCCTCATGTATCCTTGTTGCCGAAGCTAAATCATCCGGCGCATTATTTATTCAGCGCCCTCAGACAGCGCGGCAATATGTCTTGCCCTAAAAGGAGAAAGCAACTTGAGGGCTGTGGAGAGCCGGCACTAATGAACAGGTCACAACTGCCACAGGGCCCTCCCTATTTCGATTTCTTTCCCGCCCACTTATCTAGAGGAGTTAGCAGCAAAGATCACGGGGTGCTTTCAGAAACCCGAGATCATTCAGACTTGGACCGCTTCTATCTTAGCTTAAAGGTTCCCTGGGCCGTTTGTTGCTGGAAACAGAAGTCTGAGGTCAGGGTTTGCACATCTCCATGTAACACCGCGTGTACCTCACATTGCGGAATAGCTGCAGTCTGAACCAAACTCATCCAGACATCATGGGAAAACTGCAGTTAACTGAGCCTATATAAAACGGCTTTCTGTTTATAATTATGCGGTGGACTGAGGCTGTTTCATTTCCCAGATGTGCGGGGGAGTGTGAGGAAGAAGCCGACGGGCAATTACTGCGTTGTGTGCTTGTGTTTGTATCAGGGCAGTGCACACGCTGGACAATAGACCGGTGGTGGTCCCTGCTGACCGGTGTCCAGCAGCACAGCGTCGCCCAACGTCCTCATTGGAGAGTTTAGCGGGACAAGAGATGGAGAGACTTGTCGAACTGTGATATTAAATATTGTTTTCCGTTGGGCTGGAAAGCTTGTCTATGATTTCGCCCACGCATCTGTTACAAGGTGGGGGACGGACACTTTTCTACAATCATCCAGCAAGACGACGCACCAAAAAGCCACACAGTGCAAAATATGATTGAAGTATTGAATAGATGAGAAAAAAAAAAGTCTGACTTGCTGTGCATACAAACAGTAGAAGTGCACTTACAATGTATTTTGAAGTCTTTGTACTGCCTGTCCTCTATAGCCACCACATAAAGAGACGCTCGGTCTGGAAACATCAGCCCACCAGGTTTCTGTTTGAGAGAATGGGCAAAGAAATGACTCAACTCAGACAATGGTCCTGGTCACTTTAGAACACATTTTATGTCACAGCAAGGAACAGGCAAATTTTGGATTTTGTTCGCTTAGACATTATTCTCCAGCCAAACAGCACGATTAGAATCATTAATAGACTAAGAATAAGCCAAAGTCTTGGTTAAAAAGTTTAAACCTTCAAACATCATACTGTTAATCAGGATAATAAAACTCCCCACCCATATTTTGGTCCCATACTTCTAGGTTTACTAAAACCTGCAACCCTAACCCATGCTGTAGTTTTCTTCATGACCCAGTAGAAGTCTGTTTTAATGTATTTCTCTGTGGTGCACCCCTTAATATACTTCTTATTTTGATATTTTGTGGACATTTTGGAGCTGTTGGATGTTGCTACTTTCATGTCTCACAACCCACAACTCCTTGGCTCTCATTCCGAGCTGGGCCAAGACATCTTGGCTCGCCCTTGTATTTTTTTGTATATTCCGTCATAATTTTGCCATAGTTCTTGTTCCCCGCCAAGCCCGTAAAGCATTTGATCGTGTGGTAGCTACGTTGATAATGTGTGATGGCAGTAGCCATAGACACTGTGCTTGAGCTGGCACTGTGAGGATGTGAGGATCATTTAATCTCAAGTCTTTCAAAGGGAGGAGTTTCTTATCCATCACACAGCATGAATGCACTTTATGTATGATATGCAGTATTCAGTGTTTTTTAATGGCAAGAACACACTAGTGAATATGTGTGGGCCAACATGTGTTTCTGCGACTTGCCCAGTCTGAGGAATCCAACAAGTTTCCCAAGTGAGCTGTTACACATTACAGATGCTGCTCACATGTCTTTTTATTAAGAAGCTGCAAAAGGATCACAGCGACAAAGACAGAAATATTCTTTCATTTTTGTCTTTCTTTATTTTTTATATCTTATTTTTGCCATTTCCTGTGGATTCTTGTACTTTTGAATTAAAAAAAAATCTATATGGGTTGATTTAGAACATTTGAATCTGTAATGATTCCTGTTAAAGGTGGACATAAAAGCTTAAGTTAGCACTGGACTACTCATGATCTCAAAAGGACTCGTACAAGTTTAAATGGTGATAATGTTTAACTCTGAAATACAGTATGTAATTTGGGATGTCTCTGTGGTTTTGTATCAGAAATGACAGCCCTAAAGCCGTCAGGCTGGTGTCAAAATCACATCAAAAGTCAAAGTCACATAAAAAATGTGTTCTTAAGACAGTGGTGCTACCACGCTCAGCTGAAGGGGTGGAAAGAGCAAAAAGGAGAACAGATCATCCAGGGTTACTGAGACATTAAAGCCTCTTCTATACAAGACACACAATCAGCATTTCCTACCAGCCACTTGTCCCTGGCAAAGATGACCGTGTTGAGCATGGACTCGTAGAAGAGGCAGTAGCCCATCCACTCAGATATGATGATGTCAACCTGTTCAACTGGAAGCTCCACCTCCTCCACCTTCCCATTGAAAATGGTGATGACTGAAACACACCACATATCGTCTAAGCAACACTGAATTTGGGATGTACTAAAGCACTTGTATTTAAAAGTATAAACTGCTCACACTGAATAAAGTATATGGATAATAAAGTCTAATATGATGTGTATCTGTATTTTGCCCAAAAAGGCAAAATACAATGTGAATCTATCTCTGTATGCACCCAGCATTACATTTAGACAGACGTACTGTAGATAAAGAAAAAGAAACTCAGTGTGGTGGCATATCAGTCTGAACATCGTGTGTTGCCGTGGCAGCCATTGTGTTCTGAAGGAATTGGACCCAGCTGGAGATTATGGAAGAGTGGATCTTTGCCCTGCTGGATATTATCTGACTTCAGACTTTTTGTTTGTTCCACTTTGGAAAGAAGTTGGGGGAGAGTTTCCGTGGTGATGCAGGCGCCTGTCAGAATGATATGTCAAACTTGTTCCTCCAAGCGCTGATCACTTCCTGAGTGTCCGCTATCCACGGTGTCGTGTAAATACAGTAATAACTCACATTTCAATTACCGAGGCATATTTGGTATTCATGGCCGTAAAGATGTGACATTCAGTGACAGAATGGTTAATGGAGCTCTTACGTGATAGGTGCACAGCCAGAGGCTTGGCAGGGAATTTGTTTTCTGCTGCAGGGCCACTAAGATAAAACATATGCTTTGAAGTCACAAAAGTTGGCGGAATGTTTTTGCAACTGCTGAGCCGAATGACAAAAGAATTATAGAGGTATGTGTTTAGAACATATTCACCCAGTCAAAACCACAAGCCAAGCTCCATTCTTTTGACCTCGTGTGGCGTTTCTGTTGGCCTTCCCTCCATCTTTACTCACAGTGATCATTATAACTCAAATTATCGCTTCCTTAAGGCTACGTAGCACAGAGCCTGTAAAATGAAGAGATAAAGGAAAAACAGTTCTTACCACTGTCCAGGTGATTGGACTTGATGATCCTCTCTGAGTACTCTGATATACTGGAACATTCAATCTGGCAGAATATAAAAGATAAAATGAGTGTTGAAAATATCTGGTGCAGCTACATTATAACATGGCCTTATATTACAGATGATAATAGAGAGCGTGTTAGGGTTACTGTTCACACATGTGGACAGAAAAGGCCACAGGACACCAGCCAAATTCCTCTGAAGTTAGAGAAGCAACTTGTGTTTAAAGCAGTGGGATAGAAGCGCGTTAAGCCCTGTGCTCCATAACGCTTACACTCTTCAGTCATTTGGAAAATTATACTAAATTGTGGGCAGTTTTGTGCGTGGAATCTGTTTTATGCATTGTTGCTCCATCCCAGATTTCAGCTGCTCAGCAGTCCTCAGTCGATCCTTTCCTGTGTGAAATGTATTTTTCAAACCGAGATAAATTGAACCCGCAGCCAGGCCACATTTTGTCTGTCACAGATGCACTTTTCTTAAATGACAGCCCGAATGCTCCGGCTCATCTTCAGCCAATTAAACCAGAAATGTCATGTCTGGCAAACCCTTGAACATGTATATTTATTTCTTCCATCCGAGTTGATATCCAGCTCCCTCCCTTCATAATAGAGCTGAAGGTCATATTTCTGGATGCGCCGTCTAAATGCACTGAGTGTAAATGGATTTTTCAAGGTTCTCCCAACAACGTGCGGTCATATCAATCACAGTGGGCAGTTTTATATGCAGGTGGGCCTGAGGGCTCGAAGCTTTGATGCATCCAGAAAAACGCTTTCCATCCTTGGCCTTTATTAGATTAAATATCCGGAGAATTCCTGAATCTTCTCACACAATCACACACTTCATGATGGTCGAAAAAGGACATTTTTCCCCAAGAAACGTTCCTTTTCATTTCCCCTTCAAGCTGATCGATGATTCTCTGTTGGAGTTTAGCTCCAAAAAGTGAAATGGCACAACCAATCCAAACCATGATTAAGGGTCAGGTCGAACACTGAATGGAACAAAAAAGACCTTTTCTCTCAGCTTTGTTAGAAAACGAGAAGAAGTGGAGAAAAGGCAGGAGGAGTGTCCGCCGGGTTGAAACCGCAGAAGTTCAATATATCATCTAAAAAGGATGCTCCAGACAAACTGTAATGCAGCGGTTATGTGTTAGAGATGGGAGAGAATATTACTTTATCAACATTCTGGCTGCACTAAAAAGGTGAAGATTTTAAGGGGAAATGTTTTGGCTGGCTTTTATAAGTCCCTCTGTCCTGCATTTGTCCACACTAAGCAGCGATAGAACGTCGGGAGGAGAATCAGTGAACTAGGAGTGTTAGGGAATTGTGTTCTCCCCTACATAAAGGAGGATTGTATCCAATGCTGTCAGGATACCTTAACAGAAGAATAAATAAAGGTGTCTTTTGGAAAATTCAAACAGCTCTTTTCATGGCTGTCACTGAGGAACTTCCAGAAGATTCCCCCATTAATCTGGATCCTAAGATAATGGATGGATGCTTCTGTAATACCAAGCCCCAACTCATTATATTCTATGAACTGAAGATTTTCTGTTCCTCTCTCCCAACTTTTTCGTCTGTCTTGCTTTAGTGTTTCTAGTCTTTGTTCTAGCATTTGTTGAAATATTTTTTTTGTTACATTTTCTGAATTTAATACACTATCAATCATTTTTATTCAGCCTAAAGAACTTAAGTCATCCATGTCTGTCAACTGAAGCTTTTCTTTAATTGTCATGATTATTTCATTTCTTTGTGAAAATGACCATTAAACCATTGTGAAAATGACCATTAAAATACCAATTTTGTTTTTCTTCCACGAAACAAGTTCATGATGAAACATATACTGTATAAAAAATTAAGAAGGTACTAATCATAAGGACAAAAAGGGACATAACGTACCCAGTCAGCCTTCATTATGTCATGCTATATTTGTACGCCTTCTCCTTTTCGCAGTGAGTTTGGCAGTCACAGCATGTTCGTGACAGCAGCAGGTAACTAGCAAAGGAAGGATTATCATCTGACACGGAGCGCTGAGGTTCATTTAGCATAGCAGGAAGTGCCCTGGAGACAGACTGAAAACAGAGGACACTGACTTGTCATGAAGGGAAACCATTTATAGGAGGACATGCCACTTTTACTGAGCTGCTGCCAGCGTTAATTAAAATAATTAAGGTTAAGTTTAGCTACAGCTCTACTGCAACAAGTCACTGAGCCTGATGGGAATTTTTAGCTTTACTTTATCTTTGACATTTTCTTTTAAATCATCCTCCCCCGACTACACCGCTCAAAACCACCACATTTCCTCCATAACTTTCTCTTCCCTTCTCACTTCTTATCTGCGTCTGGAGCTTCTTACTAGATGTGTTCCCTCTAACTCCCACTCTGCCCGCGGATACACATCAGATGGGTCATTTGTTCGTGCCTGGAAATACAGCCAATAACAGCAAACTGTAAAGTGCCAAACCAAACAGGCAGCAGGAGGGGAAATACGACTTCTGAGCATTTCCACATGAAGGAAGCCTTCCCAGGTTTTTCTTATGAGGAGGAAGAAAAGGATGTCACTTTTTGTTTGTGTTCATGACATTTGTTCAGTATAATACATGACAAATGTTCTTCTTTATCTCTGGCTTATAATAATTTAATAAAACCCTTCCGCAATCAGAATCCATAAATGATCTGACTGCGTGGGCCCTGGCTGTGGGGATTTGTGTAATTCTGTGTGCTTTGTTGAATTTACATGCACATTAATTCTATCCATGACCATTCAGAGGTAGGAAAAGAAGAAGAAAAGTGTAAGTTTGGTGGAAAATGCTTCAACCTAACTTCAACTTCAACCTAAAAACAGGTATCTCTTTTGTCCTGGACACAATCAGGATACAAACAGAACAGCATACAATGTACGCTGGAGATCAACACGTGTCCCAACCGTCCGTTTTTTTTTTGTTTTGGCTCTCACTGTGAACTACCTTCTGCACTGTCTCTGTCTCACATTCTGACATCACAATGGGCTGCTGAAGAGCAGCGAGCATTGAATCAACTCAAGGCTAAACGTTTGACGCTCCGCATGAAGCGCTCTCAAAAAAAGATAACGACACAAGTCAGCCGAATCCATCTGTCAGTTCTCCTCTTCAAGAGCACTGGGGATTCTGAGAGGATAGATTTTCACCTGAGCGAGTACATTAAGCTCCATTTGCGTGGGAACTCCTTTTTTTTCTTTTTTTCCAGAGTTATGCAGACTTACTCGTGCTTCTGAAGAGCCATCTGGTAACGATAAGCTGAGGGACTCTCGGGGTAAACCTTAGGAGAGAGTAAAATGGCCTTTGCCAGGCAGGGATCCTCGTGAAACAAGCAAGCTGAAGAGTGAGAGTGTTCATCTGCGCCACGTTTTGTCACGGAAGAATAAAGGCTTTGCGCAGTTTGATCTTCAGAGGATAGAAAACCTACTGGACGCGCTCTGTTTAGAGCAAGCCAACTGACTGATGAACAAATTAACCCTAAACCCTGGGTTTAAGTTTCTAACAGAAGTCCAGCAGAGTACGCACGTGGGACGCAGTAGCTTCACATCGCATAAGGTTTGGGAAGAACTTATTGTCACGGTAAATCCTTGTGAGCTCCCACTAGTTTTCAATCTGAGATAGAAAGAGAGGACACAGTTTTCATTTTGTTCAGATGCTACGGCACCTTTTGCCCTCTGACTTTTATCTTAACCTTTGACCAGGACAAGTCGGGAAGGTTCAGCAGGATGGTAGCTTTTCATTTTGAATGTCAGTAATGTTTTTACTCAAATACATCCATTTGAAGCTCCATTTCAGTATTTTAAATGACCTTTGACCTTCTGGATCTTTCATCTGGGAACCCTCAAAGAAACTGTGCCAGTTTTTAACGTAGCACATCCGAACAACCTGCATTTTAAAACCCTTCCGTGTAGCATGAAGTAATCCATCGACAACATCTTTTCCTCTTTAGAATCGTCTGATGACTTTGCAAATGTGTACATAGCCCCTCAATTGGTTTACCGCCGCCCTAAGTTGTTTAGCAGAAAGGTCAACTCCTCCCCATCTTTATTTGATAAAAGAATGCAATTGTCAGGAAGCGATAAAGGGGTCGATCTAAATGCAGGACGGAGACGAGAGCAAGGAGCAGCAGAGCAGACGACCTTTTGGCTGGTTAATGGCTCACTGAGGCAAAACCAAAAGAAAAACAATTAGGAATCTCACAGGAGAAACAGGTAACAAGAAAGGAAAAATAAACTAAAAACAGGGGCACATACGGTCAGGAATAAATGACTTGATGAAAGAAACAGAATCCTGGTGTGATGCAGGAAAGGAGGCAAACTTCCCCCCCAAAAAATCAGGATTTATTGAAATCTATAACTGGAGCATAGTAAACAAACCCCTAACGATCATGACACCAAAGCTGTTCTTATAGCTTATATTCTTCCTATGGGATAGATTTCTTCAAACAGAAACTCCCTCCTCAACAAACTGAAGACTTTGCATCTGTTTTATTTTCTTACAGGTCTGCTGCTGAAGAGCCTGATGCACACAACAAAGCAGAGATTTCCTCAAAGGGGTTCTAAATGTTGCTCACTGTGTTGACTTTGACTGATTTCTCTTTGTCAAAGACCAATACAGCGCGCAAACCACGACTCTTTGGCTCGGAAAAGGCGAAGCCTTTGAGCATCCTGAGTGTAATTACGTAACCTTGTGGACGTATTACCTCATACTTTGGTGCTGCAGATGCTGCAGAGTTTTGAGAGTCAGGTCTGGCTTTCTTTTACTGACTTGAAGGCTGTTGAAATGCAATTAAATAAAAGGTGTCTGTTTTGTCTTAGTTTTATTATTCAGTAATATTTTTGTACATCTTCCATTCAATCGTTTAGAAATGAGGCATCAATGTTATTAAATACTGGAAAAGCAAATGGGTCAAAGATATTCATTTAATAACAGCTGAGACTTTATGAGAACATTCCGGATCCAGAATCGAGGATATCACTTTTGCTCTCTCTTTAACAAGACCCACGGGATGGCGTGATGGTCCTATTGGCCTGGAGCCCATTTTTTCCACCTCACTGCTAACGTCTAACATCTACTTTTTTAAGCTTCAGGCATGATAAAAACGTTCTGACTTCTGGTTCAAGAGTTCAAGTTAAAGATGACTCAAATCTCTGGAATCGTTGCCTGGTTAACTCGACAGAATTTGGATGGATGGAGAAGTGAAATCCCAAACGTAAAAAAAGCATGTAAAAAAAAAAAAAAAAAAAAAACGATGGAGGCAGGAGGAAACGGGAATTAAGGGAGACAGCAAAAGAAAGAGGGCAAACAAACGCAAGGCTGGAGGTAAAGTCGCACACACAAACACACACTGTCGACCAGTAGCTCAGATAAAGTCTTGCGGCAATTTCAAGTTAATCACTTCTCCCCGAAGCGCACGCACTTTGTGTGGAGCCACTGTACGAAAATAATCCCGGCGTGGCCCTCCTGGGCCTGCAGCCTGCATTTCTCAAACATGCCCTGACTAACAATCACTTCTGCTCCAGAAAACAACAACAGAGAGAGCTCTCAAACCACCGTCCTGCACACTTTTAGCACCTGGGTGTCAGACATTTCTGGATATAAATGCGAAATGATTTCAGAAAGTCTAAGTCAGGATGCAGGAGTATGCACAGGGTTCAGGCCCGGGCTGCTCCCTGATTGGATGCCGACGATTGCTGTACAACAGAAAGGAAGCAGATCTTACCCCGTACACGTGCTTCGCTCCCGCTTTGGCTGCAAACATGGAGAGGATGCCGGTCCCACTCCCGACATCCAGCACTATCTTATCCTTGAAGACGTGCTTGTTGTGGTACATGGAGTTTCTGTAGGTTAGCGTCCTCACCTCATCCTTCAGCATCTCCTAGTTTGGTACACACAACACATATCAGGAGTACACAGCCAATGCTAACCTGCAGAGAGAGAGAAGGCTTTGAGCTGAATGGAAAACATCAGGGTTTCCGGGGGTTCGCGGTGATATCTCCGGCAGACTCGTGGCAAATAATTCATTCCCTTTGTCTGATCTCGCTCGCTGGCCCTCAGTTGCATGGTTTTACATTCAATCTGTAGCTGGAGCTTCTGAACAGGCCGAGTAAAAGCCCTTTGTTTGGTCGGTCTGCTTCTCTTTTCTTTTGCATGTGTATGTGAGTAAGAAGAATATATGCAGAAACGATAAAAATACACCTGACCTATATTCTATAAATATGAATAATTAATCTCACAGGTTACAAAATGGGCACACTCTTTTTTACACTCTCTAATGACTAATGGAAGGAATGTCTAATAAGAACATAAGAAGATTTGTAATATCTTTTTGCGATTGCTCCGAGTTGATAAAAGATGAAAAGATTGAATAATCTTTTTTAATGGGCCCTAATCGGTCCCATTCCTCCCTTGACTCTTGACTCCAGGCAGTCTGGAGCTCAGCGGGACACCGGCTGTGAGTTGAGCTTCTCGGGCTGAAACTCCTCTCCGTAAAAGTTCTGATGTTCTCATGTTCTCGGAAAGGACAGGATTACTGCTCAAGCCCGAGCCATCTCCGAAACTCTGAGTGACATTAAACTGGAAGTTAAAAGGTTGTTGGAGTAGTTAAGAGCAGCAGGCTCGCCTCAGGAAAAGGAAAAAAAACAAGAGTGGGTTTGTTGTAAAACGGGAAAAAGGGGGAAAGAATGGAAAGCGTTCAGGTTTGAATTACTTAAAATGGCATATTTGAATTTCTATTTTGCAATCTCTGTTTTTCTTCCCTCTGGTACTAAAGGCATTTTGAGCATAGCTTTTATTGGTGTGACGTGCTGCTGTGGCAGATCTCATTCCCAAACTGTACATGTAAATGTCAGCTTCCTCCAGTTTAATTCGAATCTGTTTGATTTTCACAATTGGGATGAATTCCTTGCGTTGGTCAACTGACATTTGACAGCAAACAATAAAATCTCAGTATTTGTCGGCAGTGCGGCAGCACATCCAGTCTTGGATGAAATTTAGAAATATTTTAAATTTTACTGTATAATAACGATTAATAATGTATTCATTGTGTAAATAGAAGTGAATAACGCCAATAGCGTTAGGTGCAGTTTTACCTCATGGATCCCAAAGTGGGCATAGGAGTCAAAGTAGTAGTCTCTGGAGGTCATCTCCTCTGGGTTGAGAAACTTGGCCATCTTGCCCCGGCCCGGGCAGCTGGGGAGGCTGGCGGCGTGGGGCGTGTGTGGTGGGCGGAGGGGCCGAGCGGCGTGCTGGACGGAAGGCACAGGCTTGGGCAGCGAGGTGGGCTGCACCGACTGAGAGGGGATTATGCGGATCGGCTGCGGTTGTGACTGCGGTTGCTGGAAAAAAACGAAAAAAAATACAAATAAAAGGTCATTTCTTTACTCTCCTGAGACCCAAGCTTTCATTTGGGGTGCATTTTTGCTTTCTCCGTGAGACTAGTAGGGCCTAATCTGTTTAATAGCAGGACTTTCCTCATATAGGGAAAGTGGGTTTGTCTTTGTTTTTATAATGTGTATTTATTTGTTTAAATGTTTTCTTTGCAACTTGATTGTGATGATCTAAATAACCTAATTACAAAACTTTAATTGCACAATAAATTAAGTTTAAAAAAACGCGCAGGACGCAGGATCTCAGGAGGCTAAAGAGCCTCCATCGCTGTTACTTTGTGAGAATGAGAATGAAACATCCACATCAGATAGATTTGTTTGCATTGACGGACAGCTCTGCCTCTGACTCACTGCTAATTTCTGTGCTTGTGTCTGTATTCTTGGTTATCGGGCGATGTCTGGTGAGTTCACAGGGAGCCCACAGAGTCTGGAGAATGAGTGTGCCTGCCCGTCAGCAGAAAGCACAAAGCCCCCCCGTAACGCCCTGATTATCACCTGCTGGGGGGCTGGCTTGTGAGGGCGAGATGGAAAAACAAACACATGCATCTTATTACTCAGCCAGTAATCCATTCTGGTGTTAATTCTCATTCCAACTTTCAGCCGTCTAAAAATATACGAGGTGCCGTTTTTATATGTGTTTAGATTTTTTAAAGCTTTTAGTGTGAAGCTTCACTATTGGAACAAAACACTTAGGAGGAAATAATGCTGAAAAACTAATATGTTTTCATTCCTTTATCATTGTGGGCACGTTTCAGGAGTTTTCGACCATGGCTGACGTAGGTTTTCAGTGAGTCTAACAGCACATTAACAGAAGAACTACTGAATGTTGTGTGACGTGGAGAAATGGAGGACAGACAAAGGAAAAGCTCATAAGTGCATTCACCTAGCAGAGGACTGCAGTCTGAGAGAGCCTTTCCAGTTGCTCGTTCCCATTATTTCCATTCATACATACTAATGCTGTAAATAATGTTGAGTCACGCACTTCCCTTAAAGTCAAACCAGTCCATGCATTTTTTTCTGTGTTAATTGTATTCCTCTGTCTTGGGACTGCCACCTAAACAGCCACTTTTCTTAAACGATTCATTACTCATTTAATTTAGTCATTACCCATTTCATTTCCCTGCTATGTCACACCTGTCAGGTGGGTAATATCTTGAACAGATGAAGTCCCACTGTTGAATCTTGATTTAAGGTGATCTGTCGGCTGGACTGAATTTTCATGCCTAACGCAGTTGATTCTTCCCCTCCCATATATCTGTGCCTCTAAAGTGCCTATCATCTAATGTTTATCGACTCACATTTCCTGCTCAAATGGCAGCAGACTTGGACAAAGAGCACAGATGATGGTGTGCGAAAATAATGGGTTTTGATCCACTCACAAATTGTTGTATTATCTGTAAAGCTGTCAGTATATTGGTCCAATGCTTTTGTCCACACTGAGATATTTAACCTTTTTCAGGGTGATGGTGTTCAAGTGGTGTCGTCTAAGAGCTCCTCCTAACAGCGTTTATAAAAGCGGACAAAATACCTCCCTTGAGATATGAGGTTTGAAAAAAGAACCTCTGCCATTGTGTATTTTCCAAATTCCAACATGCCAACAGAATCATGATTGAGATGTTCAGTCCCATGCACACCTAGCAGATAGGAGGAGATAACCTCTTATGTTTGACATACCCACAGTACACTAAACAGAGAACTGCTCAGTCTCAAGCTTTTAAAAAAGATCCCAACTTTAGATAAATTGATAAATAAGAAAGGACTAAACCCTTTTTTATTATTATGTCCTTAATGGCCTAGGGAGGAAGCATTCCGGTTCAATTTGGCATTATGTCAAATTCTTTGTGTAATGGACATTCTAAAGTGTTGCCATTAGTTGCATACTTCTGCAGGTTTAAAGACAGCAGGTCAAATGCACGCATCATCAAGAACATACAGTAGTATAAGCTGGGAACACAGTATGTTTGTTCAAGGTGGCTGAGTCCAATTTTCGGAATCTGATGCACATTCAGTCAAAATCACAAAACCTTGCCGGCGTTTAACACTGAATGGAAATAAGTGAACTTTGGATTTGAAACATGAGCAGCTGCAGTCAGCAGACCCCAGATGTCAGATGAAAGATGATGAAACATGGTCCTTCTTTTGCCCCCCTAACAGATAAACACATTCTATTTCCAACTGGAGAGCTCCGTGCCGAGGTGAAGCCTGTTATTTGAGAAGGACGTCTCCATCTGTCCTTCTGCTGAGTACGAGCACTGCTGTCACTGTTAGGCAGGGGAATGTGGCCCCTTTGTAAACTCTACAGATAGTAAGTAGATGATCTTGGGATTGAGTGTTCACCCTCAAATTCATGCCAAAATGTATGCTTCCAGATACTGCAAGCAATGCATCTCATTAAGTTAAAGACAACTTGACCTAACATGAGCAAAAAAGTGATGGAAGAGTTTGGAAGAAGAATTTATCGTCTGCCACTGTAGGTGCGCCCCCTGATCCAGATGTCCCAAAATCTGCAAAGTGAGAGTTCCCTCTCAGATAATGTGTGCCTATTGCTTATTTTCTGCTTTAAGACCTAAGTCTGATGGGTAAAATGGTCTCCCCCAATTATGTGTTTTCATCCTTTTGTGATGAATAATACATAGAGGCTTCACGGGGCTGTCTCAAACTTCACAGGATGTCTGAATATCTTAAACGTCATTGTCAGCTCGATCTTCTCCTGGTCGCACCGTGAATACTGATGCGCTCGCGGCTCATAAGGGAGCTCATGCTGGATTTATGGATCCAGAAAAACCACGGTACAAAAAAGATTCTTTCTGGCGTTTTTGGTTACGTGTGTAGGACACGCCTTCTTCTCATTCACTTTGTGACAAACTACTCCACGCGTCGAGTCCCGACATTCTCCGTTTTTTCCTGCAAAGTGCTGCAGTACCTTGGACAGCGCAAGTCATTCCCACCAGAGGCAGGAAGCAACACGCTGTCCCGTCCTGTCCTGCACAGCTCAGAGTGGCTTTCACATACAGTAAACGTCTACTTCTAATCTGTAAAGGCACGAACTAATGCACAATGTAGGGTGTATTGTAGTCAGACACCGTCTAGTGGCTCGTTATTGGAGGAATGCAGAGCACATGCCTCTTGCAATATCCTAATTCTGTCCATTCTTCTAGATAATCAAAGAGATGCCATCAGCTGCTCAAACTGACATTCGTGCAGAGTATATTTGCCTTCGTAAATATATTATTAGAAATACAATTTGGAGGGGTAGCATCCCTGCAGAATTGGACCAGTCTCGCGTACTGCTGTTTGCACTGAGATGCAACTTCGGCTGAATGAACATCACATCCTGCAGGACTCATTACGCTCCGCGGCAGATGCAAAAGAACCACGCTATTTCATTTTGAATTGGTAAAAAAAACCCAAAGGTGTGTTGTTTTTTCTCCACACTTACCTCACTGCTCTCAGACTCCGCCATTTTTCTCCTGAGGAGCATGCACCGGGACGAGTGCCTAATTCCCATAAGAGCCCGCAGAAACGTGCGCCGGCACTTCGGAGAAGTACAGAGGAAAACGAAGGGATGCGCCTTGGAATTTCCACCCTCCTCAGTTTTTTTTTTT